CGGCGAAGGGTCTTCCGCCACCGCGGACCTGGGCTCCTGGCCGGCGCAGACCTCTTCCCGCGTCCCGATGTGTCCGCAGCGCCGCCGGACGAGCAGGACTCGACCCACGTGCGCCCGGGACAGCAGGCGGGTCGCGCCCGCGGGCCCTTCCCAAACCTAGGTGGAGGGGGTGGTGGGCCCTTAGATTCCCAGGCTCCCCTCCCCGCCCCATGCCGCCCCTGCACAGGGCGAGGGTCCCGACTCCCGACGGCCCAGCAACCCTTTCTGACTCGGTATCACACCTACTTTTTATGGCTCTGAAGTTCTTTGGGCGTACACATTTCCTGCTGAAAGTATTTGTTTCCCTCTAGCGGGGACTTGTGTGACGGTGAAGGGCGAGAGAGAAATGTTGGTTGAAGCAAAATAGCTGGGGCATCAGGCAAAACCAGAGGTGCCCCATGTACCCAAATGGAAGGCACCGCAATAAAGCCTGCTACCCAAGATGGGTGGGCCAGACGGGCTCCCACAAATCATGTGTTTTCATATAATAGTTCTCAAAATCTGTATTACCAACCAAAAATGTAAACACGTGGCGCCAACAAACAATTCAAAGCAGAAAATAATTGGGTCTTGAAAGGGTTAAAGACACATCCTAAAGAAGTTGGGGCTAAAATATCATAATGCCTATAGTTAAATATTTCATCAAAAAGTCATAGGTGGCATAAATATGCCAGAATGATGAGAATTACTCCATGTGGGTGCTGAGGGCTCGTTACACTATCGTTCCTGCTTTTCTGTTGGCTAGAAAAGTCTCACTAAAATTGAGACCCACAGCCTGTCCTGCCTCCCTTGCTGGATGTGATCTGGGCCTCTGGGCTGGGGGGTGTTGTCAAGGGATAAGGCGCTCCCCTCCTCCCTTAACCTGACCCCGGCTCACCCCGTACCCCCCTGCACAGGCCTGGAAGTGAGCAAGGAGTGAATGTGAACCTGGGGGGAGGGCAGGGTGGAAAGGCTTAGACAGCCAGCCCCCCCACCCTCCCCCCATGAGCCATGTGTCCAGGGAAAGCCGGTCACCTTCCGACCCTTGCTCCCAACCCTTGGGCTGGGTGCCTTCTGCCCACTTTAGAGGAGGCTGGGCTCAGAGAACATGTCATCGACTCCCACGTGGACCAAGGGGATGAAGGGGTGGCTGAAGGGGTGGCTGAAGGGGCAGCTAGCACCCTCCGAGGTAACAGCAAGGATTTAAAGCAAAGAGGTGACTGGAGGCTGGCTTGACTCCTCGGCCCCTCCCAGCTCTGATCCCCCTGCCCTGCCCTCCCTCCAAAGGGGCCAGAATTTGGGAGATGCCGGTTGCCCTCAGTGATCAGAAACCTGGGACTTCCCTCACAGCGGACTCCCTTCTGGGGTGGGGCAGCCTGGGAAGGTCATCCGGCCACCTGAACGTACTTCAGCCTGACACATCTGGACCAGCACAGCCCTGCTCCGGCCACTTGGGGGCAGCCCAGAGCCAGTTCACCCAGAAGTCCTCAGGATCCATTTATAGGCCAAGTCAGAGGATGCCCTCCTCCTCTGCTCTGAACCCCGTGTGGGACCCCATGTCACTGGGAGTAAAGGCCAAAGTCCTCACAGCAGCCGATACGCCCCTTCCTGTGGGTCCTCCCCCAACCCCACCTCCCACTCACCCCCTTTCTCTGCTCCAGCGCAGACCTGCCTCAGGGCCTTTGCCTCCAGAGCTGCGAGACATTAAAAGTCAGCACTTTAAAGCCCTCTGTGGGGTACTTTGTAACGGCAGCCCCGGTGCTGCTCGGCCTCCATCGTGGACCACAGCTTGCCTCCACCCCAGGCTGCTGCAGTGGCGGAGAGGAAAGAGAGAAGGTGCACCCCCTGTGGATGTTGACACATCATTTACCAAAGCACATCTTGTGGCCCAGCCTGAAGTCAGTAGGGTGGGAAGTAACACGCCTCCCCCAAGGAGTCATCAAATACTTGTGAGCAGCAACAGTGCCCTCCAGCCCTCCCTGGACACAGTCCTCACCACTTCCACATGCCCACCCCTGGGGGTCAGGGCTCTGCCTCGCCCTCCCTTGGAATGCCTTTCTCCCTTTGGTCTGGGGACCCCCAGTCCCTGGCTGCTCCTTCTTGGTATCCTTTGCTCACCATCCATGTGCCCCATGGTGTAGGCCTGATGCTCTCCCTCAGACACCCATGGCTGCCAGGCTGCTTGAAGAGGTATAGATGCTGCCTTCTGGCCCTGCCCACATCGCATTAACACATCCCCCAAAACCCTTCGCTTTCCAGTCCATCCTGACCCATAGCGACCCTAATAGGACAGAGTAGAACTGCCCCACAGGGTTTCCAAGGCTGTAATCTTCATGGGAGCAGACTGTAGCATTTTTGTTCTGGGGAGTGGCTGGTGGGTTGGAACCACTGATCTTTTGGTTAGCTGCTGAGTGCTTTAATGGCTGTGCCACCGGGGCTCCTTTGACACATCCCCACATCCCACATGAAGGGACTGCTCATTGAGCAGGTAAGAACTGAACTGCTGTAGACTGCCTGATAGTTCATTCATGTAAACAGTTCTTAATTTAGATTTTGCAGTTTTCTTATGTTTTGAAGTCAGTTTTTGTCTCAGCTCTTGTATTAGTTTCCCGTGGCTGCTGTAACAAACCACCCCAAACAGGCGGCTTCCAACACATGCTCATCCTCTCACAGTTCCGGAGACCAGAAGTCTGAAATCTGCATCACTGGGCTGAAATTGTGGTTGGCAGGGCCGTGTTCCCTCCGGAGGCTCCAGTGAGAACCCTTGCTGGCCTCTTCCAGCGTTGGGTGACTGCTGGTGCTCCTTGGCTAGTGGCCGCATCACTCCAATCCTGCCCCCGTGGTCACCTGCGTCACTCCAGTCTCTGCCCCCGTGGTCACCTGCATCACTCCAATC